TGAGCTCAAGCAATTCACCCGCCTTGGCTTCCCAGAGTGCTAAGAAGAGAAGTTAAGTTTCGTGAGACTGTAATAGGGTATGCAGCCTGTGGCTATGTGCAGATTATTTGAGGCCTGTTTTGCTTATCTGTGTGGTGAATATTTTGAAAATGATGCACAGAATTATGTATGGATCTAATTTTTTGCTTATCAGCTTTCATTAGTGTTTGTATTTTTAATATGTGGCAGGAAAAAAAAGGTTGGACACCCCTACTAGAGCATTCTGATTGTCTTATTTTAAGTTTCTTTCTGTACAAGACATTTATGTTTCCTGAAAATTCTAAGACATTTGTAATGTACAGTAAAAAACAAAGCATTAATTGGCGATTGTGGTTTTCCTACACTTTCCCTTCTTCCCACAGAGTCAGTTTGAAGAACAAATTAAGGCAATTAAAAATGGTTCTCAGCTCAGCGAACTTCCTAAAGTGCAGGTTTCTGAGCTATCGTTTCCTGCCTGTCACACAGTAAGTCTAACACATGTTTTGTGTTTTGTTTTTTTTTAACCACAATTTCTTATTTGTTGTTTTCTGGAAATGAGGATGGGGCGGATTAATTATTGCCTTTAGTTCAGCACTGGTAGCAAAGTGGTTATAGCTCTAGCTGTAACATACCCTGAGGCTGATGGATTCGAGCCCATCCCAGGCCAGGTAAACAACAATGACAACTGCAACAAAAATAGCTGGGTGTTGTAGTGGGTGCCTGTAGTCCCAGCCTTGAGAAGCTGAGGCAGGAGAATCACTTAAGCCCGAGTGTTTGAGGTTGCTGTGAGCTGTGACACCATGGCACTCTACTAAGGGTGACATAGTGAGACTCTGTCAAAGGAAAAGTATTTATTGCCTTAATGTTTTTATTATTGGTAGTACTGGTAAGTCTCTTAAGCTTTATAACATTCTTGTATAAAGAGAAGTTCAGTCTTCCTACATCCACGCATGAGAACAGTATTAGGTGAATATGCTGTTGGTAATGACCACTTTCAGGCACCTTAGCTTGTGTCCTTTCTTTTCAGAATGTGGGGCTGTCTGTGAGTTTGTGCGTGTTCAGCTTACTGCCATCAGTCCTGTGTGAGGCATGGAGGGAGAAGCAGGGGGAGGAGGGCAGAGGAACAAGGCATTCAGGAGGTGCACTTGGAGGGACCTTGGTGCTCACAAGATGGCGGCACTGTGTGTATCTGCGGGGAGTTGAGGGTGAGGCCTGGGCCTCTGTCAATCACCCAGGAGGATTTGCAGGTTTAGATCTCGGGAAAATAGTCTAGACTGGAGACGTGTAAAAAGTGGGTGTCAATTAGCAGCAAGCGCAGAGTCACTGAGGCCTGTGAGAGTGCCTAGAGAGTGTTAGACAGCCAGGATTTGGGCCTCAGGACTCCCTCAGCAGCACGAGGAGGAGCCTCAGCACTGCTGGCCTGGACACAGGGGCTGCCAAGCAGTGTGGAGCTGAGAAACTCATGGTTTGATAAAGAGGAGGCAACCAGCAGGTGTGGCTTTGTGCCTGGAATGGAGATTTCTAATCAGTCCGCAAAAACATTGCTCTGGGAAGAGAAGTGTGATCAGCTAGAGGCTGAAGGAGAGCTGGCAGGTAGGTAAAGTGTTCTCTTTGAGGTAGTTCTTCTCTTTGGCAGAGAAAATAATGAATTATAGAGAGTTATTCAGAAGTCAGAGTCCTGCTTTTACTCTTTAACAACTAACAAGTTATAATTAGTAATTCTTTTTAACAAAGTAGCTAATGTGTCGTTTGCTGGTGGGCTTTGTCATAGTCTGCCCACATCAGTCCTTGAGTCCTTGTCCTGGTGCTTCTGCTCTTCATTCAAGACAGCCCTAAGCGACCCTCTACTGTGGTGTGTTCCTCACAGATTCATCCTTCGTTACATCCTGAGTCTTCAGGCTATGATGACCAAGGCTCTGTGACTTCACCAAGTGACACAACTGAAGACCAAACGGTGGCTCATGAGGGTCCAGGTCTCTTTTTTGCCAGTGACTGCCCAGTGGAGGCTTCTCCTGTACTGTTGCCGGGGCCGCCCTCCTGTCAGCCTAAAGTCACTCAGCCATCGGAACGCAAGCGGGCTGGCCAGGTCACTCCATCGAAACACAGCCCTGTGGTGGATCCTGTCCCTGCTCCTTCAGGACGCACTGCTGGTACAAGCCAGTCTCCAAAAAAGCCGTTCAACAGTATCATTGAGCACCTGTCTGTGGTGTTCCCATGCTACAACAGGTATGCACGTGAGCTGTCCGTCCTGTGTCCAGTACTGTGTGCAGTTGTGATACCTTGACTGGATAAAGCCATGCCAGTTAGGAGATAACAGGAAAGATTGCCTCTTGTTTCACTCAGACAGGTGCCTACATTCTTTTTTTTGTAAATACAGAGGTGAGTATTTTCAAATAAATTTTTTAATGTGCATATCTAGATTGAAAACGTTGACCACTGTGTGTTCAGCACTCCTCAGAGCCCATGACAGTTTGCTGAGTTTTGTTTTTGTTTTTGTTTTTTGAGACAATCTCCCTATGTCGCCCCTCACTAGAGTGCTATGGTGTCACAGCTCACAGCAACCTCAAACTTGTGGGCTCAAGTGATTCTCTTGCCTCAGCCTCCCAAGTAGCTGGGACTACAGGTGCCCGCTGTAATACTCAGCTAAGTTTGCTAAGATTTTGATGAGATCAGTAACACTCTTTAAAACATTACAGCATTAGTAAATGAAGTGCAAAAAATTAAGAAGAGGTTTGTGTCTTTTGATGGCAGGAGGAGGGGCGTGTCACATATGGCAAAGAAGCCAGCAGCAGCTTAACCTTGTTAAGACAAGACCTTTGAGTTGTCAGAGCTGAACCTTGTTAAGACCTTTCAGTTGTCAAAGGTGTGAGGTTGAGACCCGAGTTTTGATCTCTGTGCGAGTGCTGACGGGCCCTGTGCGTGTGGGCACAGGTGCTCTCACTGCCCAGCCAAAGCGGGAGCAGGGTGGAAGGTTTTCCAGCTGCTTGGCAGCAATTTTGTCTCCACCTCTGCACTCTGCTCTTCAGACCGGTGCAGGGTGTACAGGTGCCCCTTGTCTCAGCGGAGAGAAAAGGCGAGGTAGAGGCAGTGTGTCTGGGTGCAGTGCACAACAGAGGCCTCTGCACTCAGAAATGATGCTTGTGCCTGCTTTCTTTCTCCTACTTCTGAGACAGTGTTAACTCCAGGCTTTGAAATTGAAATTTGGAAACAAAAGGCTTGTTAAAATATAATTGGCCTGGCCAGGTGAGGTGGCTCACACCTTTAATCTTAGTGCTCTGGGAGGCAGAGGCAGGAGGATCACTTGAGCTCAGAAGTTCAAGATCAGCAAGAGCAAGATCCTGTCTCTACAAAAAATAGAAAACTTAGCTCCGTGCCTATAGCTCAGCAGCTAGGGTGCCAGCCACATATACCAGAGCTGGCAGGTTTGAACCTGGCCAGGGCCTGCCGAGCAATAATGACAATTACAACAAAAAAATGGCCAGGCATTGTAGTGGGCGCCTATAGTCCCAGCTATCTGGGAGGCTGAGGCAAGAGAATCACTTAAGCCTAAGAGTTTGAGGTTGCTGTGAGCTATGACACCACAGCACTCTACCAAGGGTGACATAGTAAGATTGTCTCAGAAAAAAAAAAGAAAGAAAGGAAATTTAACTGGGGCTCCCCATTCCTCTCCTGCTGCTCCCTTCCTGCCCACCATCCAAAAAAAAGAAAAAGAAACTGGGCATAATGGCACACAGGAGGCTGAGGCAGAAGGATCACTTGAGCCCAGGAGTTTGAGGTTGCAATAGACTGTGATGATACCACTGCACTCTAGCCAAGGCAACAGTATGGGACACTCAAAAAATATATACATATATATGATTGGCTAGAATTAATATTTTATATTGGTATAGCTCTGCCCATTTGAAAAGAAGTGCATTTCATTTGCACATGGGTGTATTTTGCCCTGCCTAAGTTGAGAAAACATAAATTCTCTCAATAGTAATTGCCATGCCAGTTGTAAAATATTCAAGTTGTAATTACCAGAAGTACCCTACAAATAAAATTTTTTGCAATCCTGATTATATTTGGCAGAGATTAAACAATCAAGTAAATTGCATCCTAATTTTCTGAAAGTCAAAATATTTGGAGTAATATTATTGCAGCTAGCAAGTTCCTATTGACTCTAAGGCCCACCTGATGGAACTTATGAAAGGTTCAGGCTTTGAACCTTGCTGTTGACTGGATTTTTCAAGGAAGGAGTCTGCTAAACTATTTTCCTCTTGGTTGGAAAGAATTTATTGATTTCAAGTTGGAACCAATAGTGTGTCTTTATCGTTCAATGATTTTGTGTAAAGCTATGATAACATAGGCTGCAAAGTCAGTTTTCTAAATAGAGATTGATATCCCAGGTGGATCTAGCAGATACACAATTACTTTGAAATTCCATTGAAATAAACATTTAGAAGTAATACTGAAATTTTCATAACTACTTTGGAAAAAGTAATTTTGCCTAAAAATAGTTTTGCTTTTTATATGCAATTACTATTGTTATCGCTGAATCTACACATTAATTTTTTGTTATGTTTATTTATTTATTTATTTATTTTTTTTTAGAGACAGAGTCTCACTTTGTCACCCTCGGTAGAGTGCTGTGGCGTCATAGCTCACAGCAACCTCCAGCTCTTGGGCTTAGGTAATTCTCTTGCCTCAGCTTCCTGAGTAGCTGGGACTACAGGCACCCACCACAACGCCTGGCTATTTTTTGGTTGCACTTTGGCCAGGGCCGGGTTTGAACCTACCACCCTTGGTTATTTGGGGCCAGCACCTTACTCACTGAGCCACAGGTGCCACCCTGTTACATTTATTTTTGATTTTTTGGGTTGGGTTGATATTGGCATATAATAATTCTTAGCAGTAAAAAACTTGACTTTGTTGTCACTTACCATTCACTTTCTCTTTCAGCACTGAGCTTGCTGGTTTTATTAAAAAAGTGCGAAACAAAAACAAAAACTCACTATCAGGATTGAGTATTGATGAAATTGTCCAAAGAGTGACGGAACACATTCTAGATGAACAGAAAAAGAAAAAGGTATTTCATTCAGATACAAGAAAATGTGCCACTTCATCCATAAAGTATGAGGATTATTAAAAAATGCTTTAAACCGAAATGTGGAAAATAATTTACTAATGACAGAAGATGATCAAGCTTTTAGGTAACTGAACTTTGCTTTCCTCCTATCCCCCCTCCCCCTCTGTTATCTCTGTAGCCAAATCCTGGGAAAGACAAGAGGACACCTGAGCTCAGCTCTGCAGCTTCTGTGACCAGGTCCTTCCAGGGCCCACCCTCAGTGATTGTCGGACCATCACCCAAAACCAAGGGGCAAAAAGCAGAGGATGTCCCTGTGAGTGTTGTATGTATCACTGTATAGTTAGTTTTGTTTTTTAATGAAGAACAAGAAGGAAGCAAAATTTTGAAGCCCTGATTTAGCTCCATTCTTTTAATTTCTAAACCTGATTTTTATTTGATTCTAAAATTAGAAACCAAATTTCAGTGTACTTGAATGGCCCAGTTAGAACAATCACCTAATTGCTGAGATCATGTCTCTGCTCTGACAAGTGCCTTGGGGCTCATTGTAGAGAGAAGCCCTGTTGGGGGAACCTTCTCTCTCCTTCCTTGTTTTGCTGCAGATGGTCAAGTACATTAACATTTTCTGTCTAGTGTGGTATTTTGAATAGTTTGGGAAAACAGCTTTTGAATAATTTCTTCTGTGTAACCATGGGCTTTGGACTCACACAGACTGAGTCCCATCTCTTAATGGCACTGGGAGCCTGGCTGACATGGTGCTACTGTAGAATGGGCAGGGTCAGCTCTGCCCCAGCAAGGCTAGTGGCTGCCCTTTGCCTGTTCCCTCAAAAGCCTAAAAGGGACACTAGGATAGGCTGAATTTTCTTGGACTGCATATGCTGATTTAGGTTGTAGGTTTTCCTCTTAGTAAGAATATTTATATTTACATAGAACTTTGCATAAAATACTTTAACATCTATGATCTGACTTGATTGGCATTGTAATTGTATTTTATAATGAAACCATAGCACAGGTGGCTCATGCAGTTGGCTAAAATATTTGAAAGCGTGGATGTAGCTCATAGCAGGCCCTTGGACTTGTTCACACAGCTTGTTGTTCCCTAATCCCCATCACATGGCTGGCTGGTGTTGGAGACCGTGCTGCAGGGACCATACAGGAGTTTGAAAGACGCCCTGTTGCCTGTGTGGCTCAGGGCTGAGTACTCTGCATAGAATTCTCGTGTAGAACTCCATTTCTCTTTGGGTAGCTGTGGTGTCAGTACAGCTTATAGAACATAAGGAGAACTGTGGACCCTGTAGTGTTCTCAGCAGGGAACACAATACTGGTTTGCTTACTTGAGCTGGCACTGAATCTTTTTGTGAATTAAAAGTATTATATTTTCAAAGTACAAAAGGAGGCTTGGTGCACGTAGCTCCATAGCTAGGGTGCTGGCCACATACACTGGGGCTGGCAGGTTCAGATGTGGCCCAGGCCTTCTGCACAACGAGAACTACAACAAAAAAATAGCCAAGTGTTGTGGCAGGCGCCTATAATCCCAGCTACTTAGGAGGCTGAGGCAGGAGAATCACTTAAGTTATGACACCATGGCACTCTATCGAGGGTGACATAATGAGACTCTTGTCTAAAAAAAAAAAAAAGGACAAAAGTAACACATGGCTAACAATAGAAAATACAAATAAAAAGAGTATTTTTAATAAATCCAACCCCCCAACAAGCATTGTAACATTGGCGCATACTTTTCTGCCCTCTCCTATGTGCATGTGTGTGAATTTAGTCAAAGCTGCACACTTCAGTCACACTTTTTATGTTCTCTAGGGGCAGGAATTTGTTTTCTCTCTATTTTTTTGTGTAGTTGTCTTTTACTTAGAAGTAAACTGTGCCCATCTTTTCTCAGATACGGCCAACTGTAGACTGTTTAAGATAAACCTAGATCTGAGCTTTGTAGAGGGCATTAGAGAGGCCTTAACTTGCCTTTCCCCAGGACTGACATCTGTTTGTCCCTGACCCTGAAGTTACAGGCAACAGTAAAGGAGGGTGAACCCTCATGCTGTGGTGCTGCTGCTCTGCTTGGGCCACATCACACCTTGAGAAAAGACAGTGAAAGGCTGGTCAGCAGCTTCAGATGTTTTCCCAGCTCCATTCCCTGAACTGCAGATGTTTTTGGAGTGTGGGTTCAGGGCTGGGTTCCTTATTGTCTGCTGAGGACACAGATGAACAAGACTCATTTCCTGTCTTCAAGGGTGCTCAGAGTGCAGAGGTGAGTTAACATAGAATTTACCTATGCCAGCTCAGCACCTGTGGCTCAAGCGGCTAAGGCGCCAGCCACGTACACCTGAGCTGGTGGGTTCGAATCCAGCCCGGGCCCGCCAAACAACAATGACGGCTGCAACCAAAAAATAGCCAAGTGTTGTGGCAGGCGCCTGTGGTCCCAGTTACTTGGGAGACAGAGGCAGGAGAATTGCATGAGCCCAGGAGTTGGACACTATTGTGAGCTGTAATGCCAAGGCATTCTACCTAGGGCAACATCTTGAGGCTCTGTCTCAACAAAAAGAAGGAAATTACCTATGTAGTGTGGGTGGGAACCCTTAGTCTGCTATTAGGTCTGAAATGCTGTCTGCTCACCAAACTGAGCCACTGGAGGCTGGAAACCTTCCATTCATCTGTGTCAAGTCCCCAAGCAGTCCCTCACCTGGATGTTTGCCAAATGAGCCATCCATTGTATGTTTTGTTTTGATTTGTACAAGTAATCCACGTTCATAGAAACTTTACAAAATAATAATGAAAAAAATAAAATCTCCCTTAACCAGGGTAACTACTTTCATGTTTTGTGTATCTTTCCAGATGCTCTTCTGGACATCTAGTTATACATGTATTCTATTTTACTTTTTTTGTTTGTTTGTTTTGAGACAAGAATCTCACTTTGTTGCCCTCTATGGTAGAGTGCTATGGTGTCATAGCTCACAGCAACCTCAAACTCTTGGGCTCAAGCGATTCTCTTGCCTCAGCCTCCCAAGTAGCTGGGATTACAGGTGTCTGCCATAACACCCAGCTATTTTTAGATATGAGATCTCTCTCTGGCTCAGGTTGGTCTCGAACCTATAAGCTCAGGCAATCCACCTGCCTTGGTCTCCCAGAGAGCTAGGATTACAGACATTAGCCACTGCACCAGGCCTTCTCTTTATTTTTAAAAATTTAAATTACGTGATACATGTGATATTATAACCTGCTTTTGCTCAGTGGTCTGTTGTGTCAGGGCTTAGGGACTTCCCTCACCATCTGATCCAGCTGCAGGTCAAGTCATTCCCAGGCAGCACCCATAGCTCTGTGGGTAGGATGCCGGCTACATACACCCAGGCTGGCAGGTTCAAACCCGCCTGGGTCAGCTAAACAATGACAACTGCAACAAAAAAAATAGCCAGGAGTTGTGGAAGGTGCCTGTAGTCCCAGCTACTTAGGCTGAGGCAAGAGAATCGCTTAAGCCCAAGAGTTTGATGTTGCTGTGAGCTGTGATGCCACAGCACTCTACTTTCAAAGGCAACATAGTGAGACTCTGTCTTAAAAAAAAAAAAAAAAAATAAGTCATTCCCTCTTACACTTTAAGATGTGACTGGGAATTGTTTGCCACCCTTTGTGCCAAAAAGTTTGAAGGCCACTTGTAGGAAAAATTCGTGTATTTAAAAAAAATAATTCAGTGTTATTTGTTACTTCCACAGTCATCAGGCACGAGTTCCTGTGAATTATGCCATGAGGTGTTCAAATCAAAAAATGTGCGTGTGCTAAAATGTGGACACAAGTATCACAAAGGGGTAAGAATTCTCCTGGTTTTCCTTATGCTCTGTGACCAAGTATTTTGAAAATTAAAAAGGAATATTTTTTCCCCAGGCATCAATATTTCTTGTATTTTTGAGCCATTTTCTTTATAAACCCCCTGATGTCAGTGTTCCCTGTGTCCCTGTCCCAAGCCCATCTCTGTGGAAGGCGGGGGTTTCTGGGCCCTGGCACATGTGCGTGCTGCAGTGTCCTTTCCCTCTAGTCGTGGGTAGAGGACTCCAGCAGTTCTTTGGTGCTGAGACTCAAAGCAATATTAGTTCCTTGAAAGGTGTGATTTCTTCTGCATATGACTGAAGGGAATCAGCTTCAGGACAGCTGTTTTCTTGATTTGGTGTAGTGTATGAAGTCAGTTTAACAGTTGAGAGAGAAACTACGCCTAGCTGCATCCCCATGCCTGACCCTGGGAGGTTCCAGCTCACACCCTTCCCAGATCTGTGTGTGAGTGTCTTGGTATTCTGGGTACTATGAGCATTTGTCTCTACACCCCTGTTGTTGGTTAGAACAGGTCAGTTCTCTGCCGTGTGGATTTATTGATCCCTTAGAAAGGGATAAATACAGCATACTGCACTTACACTGGAAGGAATCAGGACAGCCTGCAGTCTCCTGCATGGTCTGCCCTCTGGGGGCACCTGGGCTCTCTAGCTTCCCACACCCCCACGGCCATGTTGGCGGCAGCGGGCCAACCAGGAGCACCAGGGAGCCCAGTGTGCAGCCTGATGGACCAGACTGGTACCAAGGGCAAGGCCAGGTGGAGCAGCAGGCTAAGAATCAGGTGACTGGGTCCGAGGGCCAAAGGCAGGCCAGCCTGGAGAAGTCAGGGCTGCTGAAACTGGAAAGCTAAGCCCAGAGCCGGCTGTGAGAGGAGGGCAGGGCTACCCGGGGCCAGGTGGGGGCCCGTGGTATTCATGGAGGGGATTCTGAGCTGGAAGCATTTGCTCCTGGGGCTTCATCCACACTCATGACGCCAGCAGGTATTGGTGTGCCTGAGTATTGGGCAGCTCCAGACCCAAGAGACTTTGAGGCACAGGTTCCTTGTGGTCCTGAAGCAGCTACTGATGTTGTTGCTTCCTTTTCAGTGCTTTAAGCAGTGGCTTAAAGGGCAGAGCACTTGCCCGGCCTGCTGGGATCGGGATCTCCTGTCAGAAGAGTAGCCTGCACCGCCTGGAAGAGGCCAGCCCAGTGGAAACCGGGGGCTGTCTTCCTGCCGCAGGTGGTCGCACTCACTGGAGTGAAGCGCTGGTGCCCTAAATCGGGAGAATGGCAATGCGCTACCCTTGATACAGAGAGCAGACATCGGAAGGCCCTCCCGCATTGTGTCACTCGGCTAATAACGAACTCTTTAGTACAATTGACATGAATTCATTTTCCCACTCAGATAAACACTTCAATGACAGCCCAAGTAGCGGCCAGTAGAGTGACATGGAACCACATTCTTACCTTGTCATTGATGGGCTGCTGCAGAGGTGCTCTTTGAGGTGGTGGCTTCTTTTGGAAAACATTGTGAGTGGCTCAAAGCAGTGTTTGAGTTATAAGAATTCTTAATGTACTCAGTGCTCCACGTTTCCCTTTTGTGTTTGAAAAACCTATTTTAATAGCCCCACAAGAGAGATGATACTGACCTTTTAAAAGTTTTTATAAGATTCTGTATTCCTGAAAATGTGCCAACATTTTTCCTCAAAGATTCTACATTTTAGAAGCAGGCATAAAGCAAACTACATTTTAATAATTTGTAGTTAATCTGAAAATATTGGCTGATTTAGACCAAAAGATTCAAATCTCCTCTTTGTGAAATGCCATGTGCTTTCAATTTTTCCATTTGTTATTTTATTTAGCCCTCTTAGATTTTTTTAAATGTTTATTTTTCATCATTTCAAGGTATAATCTGATTTTTGAAAATCAATTACAAAACATTATTTTTATCAACCAAGACTTTTTATCCCTGATATATATTCATCCTCCCAGCTTCATGTTGGGGATGTAAGTCCTTGAATCCTCTGCTCTTCTCAGCAGCACCATTTGTCCTTGGTGAGTCAGCCAACAGGTTCTTAGGTGTCTCCTGGCAGCACAGTGGGGGCCCCCACAGGCTGTGTGTAGAAACAGTTGCCATCAGTCTCCTTCCTATCTCACCACCAAAAAGAGAAACTGTCATTAGACAATCCTGAGGTGTCTGTTTTACAGTCCTTCTGCATTTGACCTTTGTGAAGTAATGCATGCAATCTTAAACTGTGACCTGAGATCAAAACTGTAACTGCTTTAAAACCTTTAAAAATTAGATATTGTTTTGTGGCTTATACACAGTGGTAAATATAGAAATAGTGAATACTGGACACATTCCATTTCTCTCAAACATGAAGGATCAAAAAATGTTTTTCAGTGTGTTCTTTGTTCCACTGGAAACTTAAGAGTCTCACATTTTTGAGCTGATTGGTCACCTTCCTCTGTCTTTGTTCACTGTGAGTTTTGATGTCTTAGTGACTTAGTCTGTAGAAGCTCACTCTTTATCCTGAAACAGGTCCTCCATGGTGGGCCCTAACACACTGACTACATAGTCATAAGAATTGAGAGCTGTGGATATTAAAATAGAGACCAGGTTGTAGCAACAAGAACAAAGGAGAAGAGGGCATCTGAGCACCTGAAAGTGTGTTTGTACGTGACTCCAGACCCTTGTGCACATACCTTACGTTTCTCCAGTAGTAGAATAAAGAGCATTCTAAAACAGGAACAGTTTACTGTCATTCTTGCCCATTCTTTCTCAGATGTTTCTAAAAATGCATTCTAGGCTCGGCGCCCATAGCACAGTGGTTACGGTGCCAGCCACATACATTGAGGGTGGTGGGTTCAAACCTGGCCCAGGACAATTAAACAACTGCAACCAAAAAGTAGGCATTGTGGTGAGTGCCTGTAGTCCCAGCTACTTGGGAGGCTGAGGCAAGAGAATCGCTGAAGCCTAAGAGTTTGAGGTTGCTGTGAGCTGTGATGCCACATCACTCTACGGAGGGCAAGTCAGTGAGACTCTATCTCAGAAAAAAAAAAAAGGCAAATAAAAAATGCATTCTACTTGAAAATTCAGGAAAGGTACATTTCCATTTAAGAAGTGACTTCATTTTGGAAAGAATAGTCATGCCTTGTTGTGTCCGAGAAGTCTGATTGAGGATTTTAGAGCCATGTGCCTGAGTAAAGGTTGCCAGACTCAAGATAGACTGTTTACGTTTGTGAATGGAAGGTTTATACAGAGATGATAGTTTACCATTTGGGGCTAAATTAAGATGATTTTATGTGACTACATAGAAGGATTTGACAATAAATTGCATTCCTCAGTGTGGGGTTTTGTTGGTTTGTTTATTTGTTTTTGAGGCATTTGTGATTCGTGGACTGCCGAGGCTTTGGGGGGGTTTCCTTTTTGGAAGCACACAGAAGGGTCTGCTGAGAACTGAAAGATTGTTGAAGAAAGCCAGTGTTCAAAATCTGTCTTCTGTTTATTCAAGTGTACTCAAAGTATTATTACCAGTACATACTTTTAATCTGATGGTATTTAATTTAAAGCAATGACTATTCCTTAAGGATTCGGTTTTTGCCCTGCTAAACTGCTTAATCTATATTGTAAATAATAGTCTGACGTGAGGTTGAAGGTGGCCCAGCAGTGCCGCATGCTCCATGCTGGGAAGGTAATTCTTTCTAGGTTTCACTGTCTCTTGTTACCCACAGTCAGCCGTGGCCTGTGAATGGCTACACTGTTTGTTAGTTGTTAATCTCTTACTGTGCCTAACTTACAAGGAACACTTTATCCTAGGGATGTACGTATAGGGTAAAACCAGCAAAACAAAGGTGGAAATTGTGTCATCAGCAAGAGGTACCCATGAGTCTGAACAAGCAAAGGCAATAAAGCGAGGGCCTGGCCTGTAAGAGTGAGGACCAGAACAGCTCCAAATGACCTTTGCAGGAGAAATGGGAAGTACATTTAGGTATTTTAAATGCTTGTGCAACAAAATTAATTAAAGAATAATTGTAAAAAGAATTCACCGTCAGATATGTCTAGTTCCTTTTTATTTTCATTCTGACATGATTGACTTGCAGGGGATGTAGCTGTTTACCTGATTTGCTGAGAAGGCTGAGCAAGGGCTGCATCAAAACCACTGAAACCAGGGACCATTTGTTCAGGTGTGTGTTGAGGACCTACTGTGTGTCTAGTACCAGGCTAGGTGTTTTAATATGGCAGACAATGAGATACGGATCCAGTGAAAGGTGCCTGTTGAATAGACAACAAGTCTATAATGTAATTTCAGGTGGTGAGACAGGCTTTGAAGGAGAAGCAAGGAAGGTATATAGATTAATAAATTTCTGAGAAAGTGCTTGGCTGTGCCTAGCACATAAACCCTTGATGAAGAGGAGCTAATAGTTGTTACTAAGATTACAGTCCTGGAAATTGTACAGGGAGAGTTTCAGTAGCCCTATAAGAAAGGCTGTGTTAGATGAGGAAGTAGCACTTCCTTGGTATAGCCTAGACTGGAACATAACATGACCAATTGGTGAAATAAGCAAAAAAGCAAGAAGAAATCAAATCACCGAGAAGCCATTTTGGAAAATACCAGCTTTGTTTCCGAGATTTTCTGAATGACGTTGGGGGTATTGTAAGATTCTACAGCAAAGGATAACTGCACCCGTGGCTTTCCCAAATTACTTGACTGAGCAGTCTTGAGTCAGCCTTTCCTACCAGTTTGGGTTTAGGATCAGAGCCCTGTGAGGGGCTGTCTAGAGTTCACACGGGAGGGACCTGGCCAAGGCTGATCCTCATAGGGAGGGTGTGTCACGGTCCAGACACACCCGTTTAGGGCAAGGACTGTTGTCATTCATTCCATCATCACCTCTGCTTTATATTGCCTCTTCCTAGTTCTACAAAGGAGAAAAAAGATAACATTTAGCAAAAATGCAGAAATTGACACTTTTAAACTACAAAATCCCAGTCATCCATCAATCAAGTCAGATTGGTCGACCATCAAGTGAGAAAATGATTTTTAATTACATTAAGGAGAATAAATTAGATATGCAAATGGAAAGAAAAAGACTTTGGCCATGCTCACACATCAATTCCAAATGAATCATAGTCCAAAGTATGCAGTAAAGTAAAATAATGCAGCTTCTACAACTCGG